TTATATAGTGGATATATAGTGGATTGTGAAGTAATACATGGAAGACAGATTCCACTTCCAAATCTAAACACAAGCAGCTAGAGCATTCATATAGGAGTCTTAAATAGCTGTCCAGAGCCATCCTAATGGGTAGTATATTAATTTGTGGTTGTATAAAAGGTATCCTGTGTAGGGCATTCAAAATATTATAAACATACCTGGGGATTGTACAAGGAAGAAGAAAAATGGCAGTGTAATATACACTGGCTACATCTCTTCAGGGGTTTACCTAAAGCTATGCTGCCTCAAACTAAATAGACTCTACAGGGATCTTGTCTTCTCCGCCTTACCATGTTGGATTGGTACAATTTAATCTTTGAGCAATCAGATCTGACGGTCTTTCGATCCCAAAAATACTTACTGTGAGCTTGATAAAACCTTGGCTGAATGTAAGCTGTGAATTTGGGATCAAAACACACATACAGAGTATGCATATATAGTGAATGTTTGTAAAAACCAGAACATTGTTAATCCTAAGAGAATAGTGAATATTTGACAGAATTGTGAAAATTTACACTAACCATTAGATTATTATCCTTTAATACTTTACTATTATGTTCATTCAGAATAATAAGAATGCATTTTGCATATGAGACTGAATACAGTCTCAGCTGTTCAACCTTCAACTCAGTGACTATTATTAACAGAAATTCATCCCTTTTTTTTGCAAAGAGTTCATATTTCAAAACAGGCCTCTTTCATTGTTATTTACATTATTTTATTTGTAACATTTCCCCTTTTTTAAAAAATTCAGAACAGTTCCAAACTAAACTTTGAATTTTGTAACATAAAATAAAAAGTAGTGCTTTCTGTAGAGGGAAGAACATCTGTTAATATAGCTCCTAACTGTTTAAGGAGCTATAAACTATTTAAGGAGCTATTACTTTAAAGTAATAGCAATTCCTGGTTATGTCACAAGGGATCATAAGCAAATGATAATTTAATTGGGTGGCTCACTTGTTTATAATTTGGTGCTCTCACTTATCTTTTTGTAATAACAATTTTTGTACATTTTGAATTCTTGTAAAATTGTTTTTTTTTTTTACAGTTCTTTGAATGTCTTATAGAATCACATTACATGAGATGGACGGCCATATAAATATGATCAATAAATCAATTAATAAGTAAACAGTAGCAGCCTTTGGAACAGAGTTTTTGAGGAGGGGATTATGTCTTCCTTGTTGATTAATCAAGCTTTTTTATTTTTTGGTAGGGGAGCTCACATTGATGTTCGTAACAAAAAAGGAAATACTCCATTATGGCTTGCTGCAAATGGTGGTCATTTAGATGTTGTCCAGTTATTAGTACAAGCAGGAGCAGATGTAGATGCTGCTGATAATAGGAAAATAACTCCTCTAATGGCAGCCTTTCGAAAGGTAAACAATTTTTATCTTTATTTAACTGAAAATACAGGAAGTCCTTGACTTACAACAGTTTGTTTAGTGATCATTTGAAGTTACAATAGCACTGACAAAAGTGACATGGTTGTTTTTCACATTTATAACCTTTGTAGCATCCCCATGGTCATATGATCAAAATTCAGATGCTTGGCAATTGACTCATATTTATAATAGTTGCAGTGTCCTGAGGTTCATGCAATGGGGAAGGCAGATTCATTTAACAATTCAGTTAACAACTGTGGCAAGAAAGATTGTAAAATAGGGCAAAACTGACTTAAATGTTTTGCTTAGCAACAGAAATTTTGGGCTCAATTGTGGTCATAAATTGACTACAATGATTTCAGTATGGCAATATCATATGTTACTATCTATTGGCAAGCTTGTATGAATCCCATATATAATTGCCATGGGATTAGCTCCATCCTGTTTGATTTTCCAAAAGACCCTCAAGACTTGTCATGTAATCAGATTTGGGGGCTCTCAGGACACAGGAGACCTGTTGAGATGGCTCTGCTGTAGAGATAACCATTTTTATTCCTCTCATCACCTATGATTTGTGTCGCAGATTTTTATGATACTAATATGGATTTTTACATTTTATATCTGTGATTTTACACTGTTATTTTATCTCGTGTGCTGATGCGATGGGCATTTATATAAATTTGATAAATACTGAACAGGAGCAAGTTGTTGAAGTATAAATTTAAAAAATAGGAGGCATTGCCAATACAGTCTTAATGTCTCACATCTGTTTGAGTTAATTGCGTTTATTTTATAAACTACTTATATGTTTCCAAATGAAAGCATCTAAGCCTGGTTTATTATTTTGAAACAATAATATTTGAAATTTAAGATATATATTAGTTGGATGGATACAGTTGCCATAACTTTACAACTTTAAGAAACAATGTATTTCAGCAGATGAATGTCTCAATCCATATTCTACTGATAAAAGATGTCCATAGTTGTCACCATCAGTATTCCTATACTGGCAATCTCTAGTTATGCCAGGGTTTCATTCCAGGAAGTTTGTTTTGTTTACAATTTTAAAAATACTAGTAATTTTAGATGTTAAACCTATTTCATTTTTTCCTGTTCCATGTGTCTGGAAAGGTAAGTACCGTTGGGTTTTCTTTAAAGCTAAATTCCAAACCTTTATTTTTGCTTAGGTTTAGACTTAGACTTAGAATATTTTATTGTCACTTTGAACATACACTAATTGGCATACATTAAAATGAAATTACGTTGCATGCAGCTCTCAAAGGGTCTCCACCTCTAATATAAACATAAACATGACAAGATAAAATACATACATACATACATACATACATACTTACATACATAATTATGCATGTACCCACATATATTCTATGACACAGAGAAACAACACTGTCTATTGTATTAATTGAATAAATATGATCCAGGAAAAGAGATCCTCTTTGGTTTTATGAATTTATGCATATATATTCCTCCTTACACTGAGTAAATGAGTTTGCAGCAGGAAGATGTTTTAGTGAACTGTTATATACTTTTGAAACTCATTTTTCATGTCATATCAGTGATGCTGAAAATTTGTTTCTTAGGGTCATGTGAAAGTTGTACGCTATCTAGTAAAAGAAGTCAACCAATTTCCATCAGATTCTGAATGTATGCGATACATAGCCACAGTTACTGACAAGGTAAGTTATTTTTTCTTTCATATTCTTTAGAATATTAGACAAAAATATATTTTACTATGGTATCTGAAAACTGTGCTCAACTCACTCCTAGCATTTGTTTAGATTTTCTGTGGTCTTAGTGTTCTAATTCATTTATGAAGAATGTAGATAATAAGTAAAAATAAATAACAGTAAATACTCATTCATTCTTGAATACACAAAATATAAGGATGTGGTATCTTGCCAAGTTCTGTTTCATATTTGCCAACATAGCATGGCCAGTAAAATATCTAAAATATCTGGACTAGCACTGATGATGTTATCTAGTTAGACTTAGAGTAATGAAACGTCTGTAAGAAAATATGCAAGCTCAGAGAGCACCAAGAACCCATCAGTTAAATATCTCATATATTCTTTATCTTATAAAGACTACCTGAAAATTATATCATCAGTTAAGGTACTAAATTAACTTATTTTCATTGGTCGGTTGAATATTTTAACTTTCCCAAATCTTTGGAAAGCTTGTGCCATGAACTTACTCCACTTCATGTCATTGTGTGCTGTATTGGTCAAATCATTGGTGCTCATTTCTCCTCTTTCTCCTCCTCCTTTGCTATTTTAGGAAATGTTGAAAAAGTGCCATCTATGTATAGAATCAATTGTTCAAGCCAAAGACAGACAGGCTGCAGAAGCAAACAAAAATGCAAGCATTCTTTTGGAAGAGTTGGATCTGGAAAAGGTAAGTAAACCCTTTTCTGAAAAGTTTGTATTTAGATTTGGAACAACAAACAGTGATAGAAACATAGAAACTGATGGCAGAAAATGATCCACTGGTCCACCTAGTTTGCCCTTTGAGTTTTTGTTTGTTTTTGTTTATTTTATTGTTTTTTCTTATTTATGTATTTTTAATTTTTGTCAAAAGACAGACATATGTTATCCCATGCATGTTAAAACTCAGTAACTGATGATTGACCCACTATCTTCTCTGGAAGTTGGCTCCAAGCTTCCAGTATTCTTTCTGTGAAGCAATATTTTCTTTACTTTGCATTACTTTATATTACTTTTGAACTGTCCTCCTGTCAGTTTGATGGTATGCCCCGTGTTCTTGACTTTTGTTTAATATTGAAAATACTGCCTTCTAGAACCTTATTCACATTCTTAATATATTAAAGGTTTCAGTCATGTCCCCCCCTCCCCTTTCCCTTCTGTCCTCCAGGCTGTACATATTCAGTTCCTCCACTCTCCTGATACATTTTGTCCTCCTGACCATTTTTGTTGCCCATCTCTGGACTCACTCAGTCTTATCAATATCTTTTTTAAGGGAGGTCTTCAGAATTGAAGATGGCATTCCAAATGGGGTCTAACTATATCCCTATGTAGCAGGATCAGGACCTCCTTTTTCCTGCTGCTGATCCCTCTAGTGATGCATCCCAGAATTGTGTTTGCCTTCACAACTGCCTGGCCACACTGTTAAACTCATTTGAGCTATGAGCACACCTGAATCCTTTTCTTCTCTTGTTCTGTCTTACACTGTATTGTGGGTCCAATACGGAGGGTTATTTTTCTCCAAGTGCATCATCTTATTACACTTAGAAAAAGTGAACTGCAGTTCACTCTCCATATTTTTGACTGATTTTTCAGCAATACCAAATCGTTTCCATGTTATGAATACCCTCAGGAACGTCAACTCTATTATACAACTTTATAATAATCTTAGTAGCCCTATTAAGTTCAGCAGGAACACTATAATTACTTTGCAGGGACATATCAAAAGCATCCTGTTTATGGTCCACAGCTCTCACCTTGCCAGATCGCACATTGTCTATACTGCCTTACTTCTGCATGGTCTTTGTGGATGCAGGTAGCTCAATAGATCATCAGTTTACAATCTGTAGCTTAGCAGAATAGCAGCCATGACATATTTATTTATTTATTTATTTATTTATTTATTTATTTATTTATTTATTAGATTTTTATACCGCCCCCCTCTCCCGAAGGACTCGGGGCGGTGAACAGCCAAAATTAAAAACATACAATATAAACAATTAAAATACGTTTAAAATAGAATTAAATCCAAAATGGCTCCCCAATTTAAAACGCCTTACCCACACCCCTATAAATAAGACGAATTTAAAATTTAAAAATTTAAAATTTCCACATTTAAAAAGGGGAAGATTTAGGCCAGGCCAGCTTGATAAAATAGAAAAGTATTAAGCGCCCGGCGGAAGGTGCGCAGATCCGGGATCCTACGTATCTCTGGGGGGAGCTCGTTCCAAATCGTAGGTGCCCCCACAGAGAAGGCTCTCCCCCTAGGGGCCGACAGCCGACATTGTTTGGCCGACGGCACCCGGAGGAGCCCCTCTCTATGGGAGCGTACTGGCCGGTGGGAGGCTATTGGTGGTAGCAGGCGGTCCCGTAATGTTGACACATACCAGTTGAGTCGGCCACCTAATTTCAGCCTGAAGAGCACAAACTAAAGACTCTAAATAAGCAATCTGTCCATGTAAACTAGCAATCTGCTGTTCTGACCTAGGCTTCCTTAACAGCAGGAGGCAGGAATTATTGGCAAAACCTCTTTTATTTACATGACTGTGAATTATGTTCATTCACAGTCAGCAAGGTTTGTCCAAACAGTTTTTCAAAGGAATATTTCTCAACACATCTTATCTCGTTTGGCAAGCTGCCATGTAAATTGTTTCCAACCGCAGTACAAGGCAAAACTTGGAGCAGAGTCTCTCAGAGTCATGGAATGAACGAATTGTTTCCTGCAAAAGCCAACTCCCTGTTTGCTCCTCTTTTATTTCCTATGGGAGGGGCCAATTATCTCCAAGGTGTGGCCTTACTCCCAAGTTGACTCTGCTTTCTTAATTGTTGTCTTCTGGCAGCTCTGCACATGCACACACTGGGAACGGGCTCCAGCTGTTCCTCTGCCTTGCTGCTGTCTATCCCTCTCTGCCTCTGATGCAGGGCCCTCGTCCGAGCTTTCCCCAGCCCCCAAGACTGGCCCAAGTTCCTCCTCAACCTCTTCACTGTCCAACTCTGTTGCCAGCTCCGCTGGCTGCCAGTGGCCACAACATCTGCATACAAATAGGATAGTATTCAAACTTAAGTACCAGAAAAAATAGCTGCAAAACAAGTATTGCACTGAATTAAACCAGACATTTTAAAAATAAACTTGAAACTTCACAAGCACTTATCAAGGATGAACTACTTCTTTTTCAAACTACTGATGTTTTTAAAACTACACTTTTACTCAGCTGCACACTTCTGGTCAGCTCTCAAGATTAATAACTTCACAGATATACCCTTATATACCATACTGGCTAGGATTTCACACAGCTATTTCAAATTACCTAGGCTAATTGAGACACTCTCAACCAGAAGTGGTATTCAGCCGGTTCATACTGGTTCAGGTGAACCACAGGTGGGCCCACCCACCCACCCCAGCTCTATGCCTATTTAGGCACGGTTTTGAGGCTGGGTGCATACACAGAAGATGCATGCACGATGCACAGAATGCTGGGGCACATGCGTGAAATGCCGGGTGCATGGGCGGAAGGTGTGCGTGCGCACAACTCGAGCTCACGCGCGCAGGGCAAACCAGTAGCAACAAAATGTGAAACTGACCGCTGCTCTCAACCCTGGCCAATAAACAATTGTCCTGGCCTAGAACAACTACCAGCAACCCCAACCATTAAGCAACATTGAGGACCCAGTTTGTGGGGGCAATAAGCTGACTTCGTATAAAATATATAAAAGTATGAAGGCTATTGCTTAACACACTGTAAGCCGCCCTGAGTCTCCGGAGAAGGGCGGCATATAAATCAAATTAAAAAAAACCAAAACATATAGAGTTAAGTTAAAGAAATCAGGAATACTTTCTAACTTACCTTGTCCTGCTATTGGTGTTTTTAAAACTATAATTGCTTAGATGTGCACTTCTGGTCAGATGGTCTCACAGTAAGCAATGGCGTGTGGGCCAGTAGCTTGTTCTGTTGGATGAAGTTCCAGTTCTCTGTAGCTCATGGTGAGCAACTCCTTGCTCTCCCAGCAACCCCCAGTGCTCTGCAAATACAACCAGTGATTTAACTTAAATTGGCAGGCACTCTTAAAAATGTTATGGAAAAGCATGAATTTCTATCAGCAAACATCAGGGTGCTGCCACTCAATCTAACTGTACCCTCTGATATTAATTACTTTCATTTCAGTTCTTTTTTCTGAAGACTTTTTTGCATATTAGTATGATTTTTTTATAAATTATATGAATATTCTGAGAGAATAATACTGTAAAATATAATACCACCTTTTCTATCTGTTTAGTCAATCTAAAAATTGCCAGTTTTATTTAGAATACTGCAGTTTTAAATTCTAAAGCTTTTAAATGTCTTTTTCTTGACATTGTTTGAAAAAGGAGCCTACTGATAGTAATAGGCTCTACTCCAATAGGAAGTCCTGGCTCACAAGAAAATCATTGGATTAGAATTTGAAATTCCTCTTTTAAAACACTTGCATCCTATCTTGGGATTGTTAAAGTTGATTTTACATACAAATAAATTTTTCATAGAAATAAACACTTTGTTCACAGCTTTCTGACTGTGAACAGTGGTGTTAAAAGTTCGTGAACCCTTTTGAATTTTCAATATTTCTGCACAAATATGATCTAAAGTTTGATCTATTCTCCACACAAATCCTAAAACTAGAGGACCCAATTAAATAGATGAGTCATCATGTATCATAAATCAATCGGTTTTAGAGAAACTTCTATTTTTTCAGCTTATCTCTCTCTCTCAGCATACACACACCTAATTTGAATATAAGGGACTACATCATTAATCTATATTGATAATAATTGAAAGGTATTGAAATGGGTATACATATGTATGTTTCTTACTATCTCTGTTTCAAGCTCTGAACCAGTATTATCTGTTCAAGATAGCAGTTCTCTTTTTTAACAGTTCTTCTGATCACTTTTTTAATCTAATTTGTAGTTAAGGGAAGAAAGTAGACGGCTGGCACTAGCTGCTAAAAGAGAGAAAAGAAAAGAAAAACGAAGAAAGAAAAAAGAGGAGCAGAGGAGAAAGCTAGAAGAAATTGAGGCAAAAAACAAAGAAAATGTTGAACTACAAGCTGCTCAAGAAAAGGAAAAAAACCTAAAAGCTGAAGGTATATATTACAGCACTGCTCATGACTATTGTTGGAGTTGCCTGGTATCGATGCCACATAAAATTAGTTTGAAACAGCCAGGAAATCATCAGATTCCACAGGGTTTCTTTTACTTTTCTATCCCAAAATCCTTGGTAGTACAGTGGTTTAACGCACCCTGTTATTAACACAGCTGCCTGCAATTACTGCAGGTTCGAATCTTACCAGGCTCAAGGTTGACTCAGCCTTCCATCCTTTCTAAGGTAGGTTAAATGAGGACCCAGTTTGTGGGGGCAATAAGCTGACTTTGTATAAATATACAAAGGTATGAAGGCTATTGCTTAATGCATTGTAAGCCGCCCTGAGTCTCCAGAGAAGGGCGGCATATAAATCAAAATTAATATATATATATATATATTGCAAGCTTTATGAAGAATCTCATGAGATTTGTCAATATCCATCCGCAGGAGTCTTCACAGGCTACAGTGCTTATAGGCACGTTGAGGCTTAAAAGCTTTAGAGGGTGAAGAGGATTTAGTGATTTTATATAAAGGAAGAAGGTGGTAACTGTAGCATTAGAATTACCATGCCTTTTGACTCAAAGCCCTTTATTCTTTTCAAAATATTTGACATCTACTCTTAAGCATCAGTTAAGTAACAAATTGCTTATTTTAAATCATAATTAAATTCTATGATCCCCATTAAATTAAATCAGTATTATTAATTAATAAAGCTATTCAATTAAAGCAAACTCCATTCTATAGAAATCTGATCGAAATATATATTCTTACCCTGCGACTTTTAAATTTGTGTTTATAAATCATAAATTAGTTATATGCATTTCTATTTTTAATAATTGAAAATATTAAAGTCATTTTTGCAAAGAACTGATGTTCAAAATGAAGAAAATTGTTTTTTGGAATTGTTCTTGAGATTAACATTAATAAAATCTAAAAACTCACTTGATAAATTAAGTGCATTTTTAAAATTCTCATGCACTTTTTAAAGAGATTTTGTTTGTTAAATAGGACTTTTTGAAGAGTATTATAAAGGAAGTTTGTCCATCAGTTCTCTAAATTCAGTTGTTTCCTCTGTAATTTGTAAATTAGGTTTGTGTTCAAATCCTCAGCTTTTAGAAGTGGAACTGTAAACATGTATATGTTCACACATCAACCTACTTATTAATAAATAGACATTAGGAAACAAGATACTCTAATAGGATCTAAGATCTTTATAAATGATTTGCATAGAAATATCTGGAGCAGTGCTATGATAAATACTTCAGGAATGCTTGGGCTTCAATCGTGTTCTTTTGTTTCTCAATTAGAAGAGCCAGGAGTCCCAACAGAACCCCCCAGTGCTACCACAACCACCACTATAGGTATATCTGCAACATGGGCAACTTTGGCAAATTCCCACGGGAAAAGGAATAATAATGTTACTACAAGCAATTCTAAGAGAAAAAGCAGGAAGAATAAAATCAACCAAGATACAGTTCAGATAATGTTTGATGATCAGCTTCCAATCTCCTACTCTGAACCAGAGAAAATAAATGGTGAATCGAAAAGCAGCAGTACAAGTGAAAGTGGTGACAGTGACAACATGAGGATTTCCAGCTGTAGTGATGAAAGCAGCAATAGTAATAACAGCCACAAAAGTAATAGCAATTCATCCATAGCAGTCAGCAATGATCAGAACAGCAAGAAGCAGCCAGCAGTGCTTGTTACATTCCCAAAAGAAGAGCGAAAACCAATGTCTAGCAAATCGCCACTCAAGTAAGATTCTGTGGGATTGATAAATCTTAATCATGCTCTAACCTCTCTGAATTTTTTATTGGCTTGTATTTTCTTTCCCTTTTGTTCCTTTATTGATTGATAATGTGCATTATTAAAATGTTTCTGCTGCCTTTCTACCAAATAAACTATTAAAGGATAGTGTGAGTGCTCTCTCAGAATCCTAGAAAGAAGAAATGGCTTTCAACTTGGCAAACAAGGGCCAGATGTCATTTTAACCTTCAGTGAGGTATCAGACAAACTATTAGGAAATTTGCAAGAGAAGTTCAAATAGCTCACAAAGACCCAGTCTTAGTGTGTTCATTAACAAAGGAGAGATAGTTATAATTAAAACTGATTAGTGAGACTGTGTGTGAACCTATCTTCCTTGAATGGATGATCAGTTAATGTAGAAGAAACTTACTGTAATTAAGGATATAAAAAACATTACAAAGTGTTCATTGTTCTATTCTAGAATAGCCCCATGGGCTTCCCTTTTTCCACATAGAAACAAAAATTATCCTGATAAATAGAGGCTATGTTACAAGTAGGTTAAAGCAGTGTTTGGATTCCAGCTTTTATTTCATGTATATATTCATTTCAGGATTTTCTAACAAACAATATCTTACTTCTAAAGCTAGAGTAGACAAGGTGACCTGTTGGGTTATCTTTGAGAGGAAAGTAGTGTAGTGTGATGTGATCAGAATGAATATTATTTAGATTATATATATATTTTACTCCAATATCCCATGATTATCTAATAAGAGAATATACCATGACTAGAAAAATAATTATAGTGGCCATTGAACTTTTATAATAAGTATTTGCTTACCTAAATAGATATAACCATAGGTGGGCAAATAAGCAGTGGGAGGAGTAGTGACTTCCAACTTCCTACAGCTTTTCCCATTGATTTTGCTTGTGGGATGAGAGGTTTAGTGGTATATAAATTGTGTATCTCATTAAATGGAAATTACTGGATTTGTTTTTACCCTTGAGTGCAAGGCATATTTCAATTTGTAGGAAGCCTTAAACAGAAAAATTAAAAGTTGTTTATATTTTGTTTGCTGCTTTACCATAGCCGTAATATTCATTTGTTGTATTTTTCTATATATCTGAGGTATAGAAACATTTGATTATCAAATGTTTTAATTGCTGTTAAATAAATATGTGCTTTGTAACTGAAAATCAGTCATTTTAATATGTCATAGATTTAAAGGGTTTGGATCCCAACATAATTAGAGCACACCTCTGGATATCAGTAGGATGTTTTATTCTTCTTAAATATTTCTCTTTAATATTTATATGATAGAGATTAACACAGAGATTTTTTTTCCTCCCTCTCTCTTTCTTCTATGTCTTTCTCCCATTTTACCTGAAAGGTTATCAGAGGTTATTGGTGAAGCACCTGCTAATTCCTTATCTACTTGCACAAAGTCTTGTCCATCACCTCTCTCTTCTCCTAATGGAAAAATCAGCTTAGCGAGTCCTAAACGTGGTCAAAAGAGAGAAGAAGGGTGGAAAGAAGTTGTAAGAAGGCAAGCTAAATTTTATATTACAGCAAATTTCTCTTTTTCTTCCTGTCCACTCTAGAAAATGTATTTTAACCTTTCTTAATCCTACCAGCTAAATTGGTGAATATATAGTAGATGAAATCTTTATACTAATTTTAACAGTTTCTCATAAGGATTGCTGTAAAATATATTCACAATCTGAGAAACAAAATGCAAATTCATTTTCTATAATGACACTTCTGTCAGACTAGATTACTTTCATACCTTAAAAAAACTAATAAAATAATTTATTACTTCATTATTACTTCATTTAATTTGAAGTTTGCTAACACTTATGTATTCTTTTAATGATGAAAAATGCCATATAGATTTTATCAATATGTAATAAAGACTTCCTGAATATACGTCATGCCCTGCATATATGTCCTAGTTGATAAGATGCTGGTAACAGTATATTGGCTTGCAGGGTTGTTTCTTAATGAAAGAACCTAACTTGCATAGAATAACCTGACAATGTCTAGAATAAAATCGGCCTTTGGTTACATTTGTAGCATTTGGTAAAATGCCCCATACTGAGCAGAGTGTGCTGTATATGCCATGAATATGATTAAGTCTGGTAACCTTAACCTTAGTTAAATGATTTGCAATAAATGCTAGGTTATGTGATTTACGTTATTGGCCAAAATAGTGGAAATCTTTTGGGGAAAGTGTATTTTTGAGGTTTGATGGCTAATAACATCATTTTTGGGGGGGGGGGAGTACCATAAAACTAGAAAAAGGAAGCACAACTTACTTAGGTTGATATCAGGTAGCTTTCCTTCATCTGATTGTAGCCAATTAGCATGAGTGTTTAGAGAGCCAATCAGGTGTCATCTTATTTTGGCAATGAGCCAATCAGATCACAGTAGGATTCAGTTATTGATGTCATGTATTGAAGGTGAGAGGAGGACATTTGTCAGTGTGTTATGAGATCGCTATAAAGTTGTTTGGGGTTTTTTTGTGTTCTTTCATTTAGTGAGCTTGTAAAACGTAATAAAATTAAAGTAATGGTGCAAAGAGTTGATTGGTCACCCAGAAAGCGATGTAAAATAGTATTATTAAGTGAACAAGGCTACAGTTATAAAGAAATTAGAAGAGAAATTGGTGGAGACCTAACCAAAGTTGCCATTTCTAAGTTTTTGAAGAGATATAAGGAGACTCAGTCACTACAAAACCACACTGGTAAAGGCAGGAAAAGGTGCACAACAGCAAGTGATGATAGAAGAATTAAGAGACTGTGCCTACGTGACAGAAGAAAATCATCTGGGTATACAAAATGAAATGGCGCAATGTAATGTGAAGTTGAGTGCAAGGACTGTTCAATGCAGACTGCAAGAATTTGGCCTAAAATCTAGAATTCCACAAAACAGCCACTTTTATCTCTCAAACAAAGGTTGAAAAGCATTAAATTATCTTTCCATTGATATATAATTTTTCCATATATATCTTTCCATTGATATATAATTATATGGTACTACTCCAAAAAAAAAGTGGTATTATTAGCTATCAAACCTCAAAAATACACTTTTCCCAAAAGGTTTCCACAATTTTGGCCAGAATTGAATAGCATAGAATTACATAGAATTGAAAATTAATATATCAAAGACCAAAAAAACTGTTTGACTTGGAAATTGACTAAACATTTCCACGCTATTCATAAATGGTGAAAAACTAGAGCAAGTAGATGAACCTATGTACCTTGATAGAATATTTAAGAAAACTGGGCAAACGCCTAGACTATTCTAATGCTGGTAGATGATGCAATGGTGAGTTATGTGTGAGCTATTGCAAAAAATGATTGTTGAAACTAGCAAAATAATTTCACATAAGAGCATGATTTTGCTCACATTGTTTTATGAAAACAATGGAATGTTAGGAGAAACATGAATTGATCGCAAAGAGGGTTAAATAAATTACTTTTTGCTCTGTTTGTGTGCTTTTCTTACATCATGCCTTTATTTTTTTGGCTGTTTCTTATTCCTTTCCTGCATTCAGCACAATGTCTGTGGAGATTCTCAGTTATCCAGGTCCAGTTATCCTAAAGGTGCTTTTTCAAGAGGCAACTAGATTTTCTTGTTTTTCTTTGAAGACATTTCGCTTCTCATCCAAGAAGCTTCTTCAGCTCTGATTGGATGGTGAGGAATGGAAGGATTTATATTCCTTGCAGACACTTGGAGCTACTCAGGTGACCCTGATGACACAGATAAACCTCCAGGTGGCCTCTTTGACTGTAAAATAATGCAAATGACCCACTGTCAGCAAGGAGTATAAATCCTTCCATTCCGCACCATCCAGTCAGAGCTGAAGAAGCTTCTTGGATGAGAAGCAAAACATAGAAATACCAGAAAGTCCAATTGCCTCTTGAAAAATCACCTTTGGCACATTCAGCACAATGTTGCTGACTCAGTAAGGAAATAGTGAATGGCTATTCAAGTAATTTCTCATGAAACACATTCTCAGCATTAAGGGAATAGCATAGTATATCTTTGCACTTAGGAGCTGACCAGAAATTCCATTGTGTAAAAATGCCTTTCCAACCTTCTAAATAATTATCTTTGACTTAAAATATTAGTAATTTTATACCATGGCCTTCATGTTGGACTACAGTTTTTTGAAAAACAAAACAATCCTGCTTTATAGTATTTTAAATTTGCTGTTGTAATTACTTTTCTTTTTATTTGTTTTTAGATCAAAGAAGGTTTCTGTTCCATCAACTGTTATTTCCAGAGTAATTGGAAGAGGTGGTTGTAACATCAATGCTATCAGAGAATTTACAGGAGCACACATAGATATTGATAAACAGAAAGATAAAACAGGAGACAGAATCATAACAATAAGGTAAACCAAGGCACTACTTATTTCATTTATAATAATTTGCTTGGTCTTATTTCTGTACTTAGTTGTTAAAAACCTCAGGGGCCCTTGTTAAGGGACAGATTTTAGCCAAAAAATGTTACAGTGCATTCTTACCTTCTCATTGGAAATCTCCTGTCAAGAATTCTAGTTTGACAGATAGCTGTGCTTTCCTGTAAGATAGGAGAGATTCAGGGAGCACATTTCATTTCCACATTTCAGTTTTTCCTTAAATTTAGCTTTTCATTTTTCCCTGTGTTTTTCTGAGATTAAGCACTGAGATTTTTCTGAGATTTTCTGTATTGTACTTCACTGCACTTTGAATTTATCAGCGCATAATTTTATTTATAATTGATCTCTTTTTTTTGTTGGCATTCAAACATTTGAGTTTACTATTAGTGGAAATCATAGCATATATGTTGCCATAAAGTAATTAAATTTCCTTTCCTTAAATATCTGTTGTTGTTTTTTAAACTGTTCTCATGCATTTGTTATAGGGGAGGCACAGAATCAACACGACAAGCAACACAACTTATAAATGCTCTGATTAAAGATCCAGATAAAGAAATTGATGAGCTCATTCCAAAGAATCGTTTGAAAAATTCTGCAGCCTATCCCAAAACAGGAACATCATCACATGCCACCACTACAACAGTTCACAGTTCTGTAGCTGGGAACAAAGTCACCACTGTAGCAGTATCATCGTCATCATCTCAGATTGCTACAGCAGTCTCTGTGCCTGCAATTTCATCAGCATGTACCCATAAAACAGTGAAGAATCCCATGAACAGTGTTAGGCCTGGATTTCCAGTTTCTCTACCATTAGCCTATCCTCCTCCCCAATTTGCACATGCATTGCTTGCTGCTCAGACTTTCCAACAGATTCGCCCACCAAGGTTGCCCATGACTCATTTCGGAGGAACTTTCCCACCAGCTCAATCCACTTGGGGTCCTTTCCCTGTTAGACCTCTGAGCCCTGCAAGAGCAACTAACTCACCTAAATCTCACACCGTGCCTCGCCATAACAATCAAAACAGCAGTGGTTGTCAAGTGAATTCTGTGGGTTCCTTGACTTCTAGTTCAACAGCTACCACAAACTCGGTGGTGTCTACTGTGCCTGTTTCTTCTGCAAATGGCAGTCCCAGTTCTCCTTCAGTGAGAAGGCAACTGTTCGTCACTGTGGTGAAAACATCCAGCACTACTACAACAATTTCAACCACAGCAAGCAACAACAGCACAACAACAACAAATGCCATATATCCTTTTCCTACAGCCAAAGAGCAATACCCAGGTTCATCCACTTCTTCCCCTTCACCACCGGCCCAGTCAGCAAAGATTTCTAGAAATAGTCCTTCAGAATGTACAAGAAATTCTCCAAGCAAAAGGGTGTTATCTTCTGACCAGGAAGTAGGTAGCTCACCAGTTGTGGAAACTGTAAATTTGGCCAATAACAGGCAGTCAAATAGTAGTTCTGTTGGCATTCCTTCAGAACATCTGGGTCAGCCACAGTCTCTTGGGCCTCTTTCTCAAGAAGCAAGATCACCTTTACAGCCTCAGGTTCCAATACAAGATCCTCGTATGGTTGCACCTCCAAATTTAACAACAGTGAGTTCTTCTGCCCCGATAGTTACTCATGCTAATGCTTCAGTAAACTCTCCAGCAAACTATATTTTGTCTCAGGCATCAGTAGGATCTATTCAGTCTTCTGCTCCAGCTAAAATAGAAAATGCCTCTGTCAGGCTACCTTCCCATGGAACCAATCCTGTGCATAAGAATTCAGTTCCTCTTCAGAATTCTACAGTTCCAGTCCTTAATATCAGCCACATAAAAAGACCCCACAGTGTTCCTTCTTCAGTGCAAATTCCTTCTACTTTAACTACTCAGAGTGTTTCTCAAAATTCAGTCCACCCTACAAATAAATCCATGGCCACCAATTTCAGTGCTACTTTACCATTTGGACCATTTAGCACACTATTTGAGAATAACCCTCCCTCAGCTCATGCATTCTGGGGTGGTTCTGTCTTGTCATCTCAGACAACGCCGGAATCTATTTTGTCTGGAAAGTCTTCATTTCTGTCAAATTCAGATCCATTACATCAGTTAGATACTTCCAAAGCCCCAGGGTTTAGACCCCCACTGCAGAGACCAGCTCCAAATCCCTCAGGTAAATATAAAATCCACCTCTTTCTCATTTCATATGCGCAGTATTACTCTCTAATGTTTTATTATTGGATAACAAGGACTGTAGTCTGATTGGTGTAAAATCTTATCTATCTGCTGAATAATAGGATCATATCCTAGCTGTGCATGCAAATTCATTTTCTAAAAGCTTTAGCTATAAAATGGAGCATGACATAAATGTAACTCCAAAAGGGTTTTATCTGTTCACTCATCCTAGATTGATTACAATATGCTAATCTTAAAAAAGTGAATTATTATTGATCACTAAGTTATATTTTTTGAATGTTTATTTCCCCAGAAATATTTCACTTAACAGTCATGCTGTTTTTAACAGCCAAAATACATGAATAATATTGTAAATCTCTTTAGCTAAAGGCTTATTTATTTAATAAAGTTCAATTTGTAAATAAACATTATGCTGTTACTTCAAAATAGATATAGGGAAAATCGGTAGAAAGTAAGACATAGTACTTATAATCAGATTTATGAAAAATGCAGTTTGAAACATTTGAGAGCTCATTTGTGAGCTGTTGTCTCACAGCTGTACAGGGAATTTGGGAAAAAAAAACCTTAGTGATATTGGCAAAGCATTATGGATAATATAGATTGATCTCACTTGTTTGGACCAATAGAACAGTCCACCCCAGAGAACTAATGATCCTGATGGATTCAGAGGGAACCTGAGGTTTTTCCTGAGGATTTGGTGAGCCATTTGACTGAGACTTTAGCTCTACCTGTCAGGGATCTTATATGTGATTGATTTTTTTGTGGCTTTTCCTATTTATTGATCTTGGGTCACCCTGGTTTTCCAAGGAGTTCTGGGAAATAAACTAATAGAACAGATGCCTAGACAGCCATTGGAAAAAAAGTGAAGAATGTTTCTGGCTACTTCCATTTGACAGCTAACATTAAAGATTATGTTATGGTGATAAGATTGGTAGAAATTACTACTCTTCCACTCTAATTGCATCTCCAGATAACTGACTAGTAGCTTGGTTTAAAGTGAACATTGCTGGGGAGGAAAGGCCAATGTGAACATCTACAAGTCTACTTTAGGAATGTCCTAGACACCTGATAAATAAAATCACTTGGATACATACTGAATTAGATTTGGACTGTGGATATGTAATTAAATTGACTGAGGCACAGTGTTGTCCTGTCTTATGAACTGGAAATGGTTTGATCCTCTGACTATCAAGGAAGTTCACAGAGTCTATAGGATTGTTAAACTAGCGACCAGTTTGTTAGATCCGTATCCTTCCTAGTTGGCAGTGAAATCATCCTTGAGGGAGGAGATGATTCCATTTGCCTTAAAGGGGCAATAGTGTACTTCGCCTCAAGAAGCCATTACTGATCCCAGCTGTTCTGGACAATTTACATCTAAGTCTTTAACTTTACCTTTTTAAGAAAAGTGATTGAGAAGGTGGCATAGTGGGTAGCTTCAGATGACCTCAGAAGAAGTAGATGATCGGGACCCATTTAAACTAGTTTCAGGTCAGGGTGTTGTACAGGGATGGCATTGATTGCACTGTGGCAGAGCCAGTATGGGAGTCGTGCAGATATCCTGGTTCACCTTGATTTCTCAGCAGCCTTTGATACTATCATTTTTAACTTTCTCAACCAAAAAGTTAACCAGAAATCATTTTCAAACCATGGGGGTTGAAAATGATAGACATGGTGCTGCAGTTCTCCTTTCTCCATGTCAGGGTAGAAGAGGTCAAGCCTGAAGCGCCTAGTTGATGGATTGCCATCCGTTCTGTTTAACATCTATATGAGGCTGCTGAGTGAGGTCATCTTCCATAACAGGAATAGGCATCATCATTATATGAATGATACTGAGTTTTATAACCCAAGTTCTGGTTAATAAAACTGTGAAAGCTAAGGATTTATGGTTCCTTTACTGTTGGGTATTTATTATCTTTAATTAAAGGTATTTTTTAAAAAAATTAGGGGCCTCTAACCTTGTGGGTATAGTCGATGGATCTGTGATGTGTTGGTATAATTTTAGGGGCAAAGCAGACACCTGAATTTGGCAGAATCTAGTTCCCATTGTCCTGTTCTTTCTTGTTATTTATGAAAAACTGTTTCAGTCACATTTCAGTTTAATTAATTGTATTGGATATGGATATGCAACTCGGTGCCTGTAATAGCATTTGGAAATTACTTTGGGAAACTGGAGGAAGAGCTTCCATAGACTAATCAGCGTTAAGAAAAGTGGCAGCTGAACTCGCCAAACAAATGGGGGTGTGACGAACACCTCAGAAGGACCCTCTTTAATTTCTTGGACTATAAATGCAATAGGAGAGAGATATACTTTCAGATTTGCAAGATTCTGTTAATACAACCTTACATTACTGTAAACCTAGAGCTAGTATGCTTCTTGTCTGGATTACACAAAGCTGAAGATGCCTCAGCAATGCTATTGTACATTATAGTTATAGTTTATTAAGTAACACATTTAAATGGAGCTCTAGCTGTGAGTTATAAGTGGCAACCAATAGTAGTCTGTTGTTCTGTCTTGATAGTCTGCTTTTAGTTGATCTACCCTCAGTATTGATCTGGCTGTATTATTTAGTCTGTTGGTCTTGTAAGGAGGGTAATTCTGTTTCCTGATATCTGACTTAATTCCATTAGATGAATATCTCTATATAATGGGTCAGAAGATAGCTGAGCCTGCATGTCTTCACTAAACAGCTCCGCAAAACAAAATCAGCTGTTTAGCCAAAAACGCAGCTCAGCTCAGCTCAGCTATTTGCCGGAGGACAGTCAGGCTCCAAAAACAGAGGCAGCTCTGCTGATCTGAGCCTGCATGTCTTCTTTAAACAACATTTTCCTGCTGAGCCTTCAGCATTGCAATTCTGAGATACACTGAAGGCTTGAGGGGGGGAGCCTTTTCAGCGATTGGCAGGAAAATGGGCATTTTCCTGCCTGGCCTTCTATTCTTAAGCTCAGCACAGACAGAGAATAGGAGGACAGGCAGGAAAATCCCCCT